GCTCCCCCAGGTCCTGGGCCTTCTGCTCCGACAGAGCCAGGGCAGCCTCTGTCATCTGAAGTCTGCAAGGAGGGAAGGGCCAGCCCCATCCCGGCCGATCTCTAGCCTTTGCTAAGGTCATTCTTGCCAGGCCACTACTCCTGCTAGTGCCCCTTGAGCTAGTCTAGGCTCCTCAGAGACTTGTCTGCTGCCAGTGAAAAGAACTTGCTTTTTGCAAAACCAGGTAAGGGGATGGAGGTGGGGTGGGGGTGGGGCAGTGGAACCAGGATTCTAGGGAGCCTGGGGTGAGGCTTGGGGAAAGCAGACAAAGCTTGACCTTCCCTCCCTCAGTGCCCAGTGCCCAGCTTTGCAAGCAGATGAGTTGGAGCTCTTCCCAGAAAGCCTTCTCAGTAACTACCCTAGCGGTTTCCCTGACTTCCTTTGTGCACTGGAACTTGAGTCCCTATTAGGATGGTCCTCCTCTGCCCTGTGGGCAGGCCTCTAAAGTGTTCTGAAACCTCCTCATACCCCCATCCTGCCCTCTGCCCCTCCTTACTTGGCCTTGAGGGCATTGATGATGGAGTGCCTCTCGTTCAGGGCTTCCTGAAGCTGCCCCACACGTGCAGCCGATGCCCTGTGGACAGAGAGGAGGGTTCGAGGGGCCCAAACCCGAGTCGTCTGAGCCCCTCCCTGAAGCAGCTGCTGCCCCTCATGCTCACACAATGTCCAGGTGTGGGCTAAGGCAGTGCTCAGTGGCGCCTTGAACCCTCCAGCCAACTCCCTGAGGAAATACAGCCCACATCCTTGTCTGTGGGGAGATGACCAGGCTCACACATTAGGTCACTCCAAGGCCAGAGCCAGGACCCGGACCCCCAGGTTCCCCCACTGCACTGCCGCCCTGCCCTGGACCCGGGGCCAAGCTCACTTGCTGCTCCTGGCCATCTCTTCTCTCTGTCTGTCGATCGTCTCCATCAAGTCCATAAACTGGGGACAGAGCCAGGCAGAGCCTGTCAGGGCCCAGAGCCTGCTCACTCCCCATGGTTGGCAAGAAAGAAGGCCAACATCTATTGAGGTAGCAGGATACCAAGGAGCTGAGCCTCATCCAAGGAGAGGGTGGCTGCCACACAGGGAGGGCCAGGGGCAAGTCCACCCACCCAGCTGAAAGGCATCAAAACAAGAGGCTGCCTCTCGGGCCTAGGTACTGGCTTCTTGGAGAGGCTCCAGAGCTCAGAGGGAAGAAAGGCGGCCATGGCATGGGGGCTGAGGGGGGCTCTTTGTCCACACAGCCGGGACGGGGCAAGGCCCTGCGGTCAGAGGCAGCATCGTCCTTACCTGCTTGGACTTCTCTTCCCGGAGGTGCCGCACCTCCTTGCTGAGCACCTGGGCACGGGCCTGGCTTTCCCGGAAGACGGTCTGCCGGTCCTGGTTGTGGTCCATGGCTTGCTCTGTTGGAAAGAGTGAAGTTGTCTCCTGGGGGACTGAGCCCCAGGAATGGCCAACGGCCAGCCCACCCCCATGTCTTAACCACACAGATCGGACCCCTCAGTGCACTAGCAGGTGAGAGGCTCAGAGGCGGCGGGGACAGGGGATAGGGGCAACAGTGAAGCGAGGAGCCTGGGAGGCACCGGGTGGGGGGGACAAGCTCATGGGAAGAGGGTGCTCAACTGTCACAAAAGGTGGGCATTTGGATTCTGCCCCAAAGGTTAAAAGCCAACATGTGACTTTTAAGAGGTGAATGTTGTGCTCAGCTCCCATGTGCTGGAAAGATCCAGGCAGCATTTGGAGAGGGGCCGGCCAGAGCGGCCACACTGTCAACTGGGGTGACTCAGAGGCAGGTGCAAGAACCAAGAAACAAGAGAGGACATGAGTTGGGGAGACTCAGGAGGTGGTAACCTCACACTAGATTCCGGCCAAAGCTTGGGCCCTCAAGGGGCTGGTGCTGCTGGTGGAACAAGTTGCCATGGGGAGTGGCAGAGCGCTCAGCAGGCCTGGGATGGAGGAGTTGAGGGTCATGACAGAAGGGACCGTGGTGTGAGGAGGGGACCGTGGTGAGCCTGGGCCGTTGGCACTCTGCAGGCTCCCACCTCTGCCCTTTCTTCCTTGGTGCCTGCTTCCCGCTCCCTCTGTTTCTAATACTCTACCATTGTGATGCCTTTATGGTTCCAGTCCAAGCGGCCCCTCCCTCGGTGGGTTCTGCCCCAAAGGTTAAAGGCCAAAATGTGACTTTTAAGAGGTGAATCAGCTGATCCGTCAACAGGGAATCAACTCTATGCCCTGCTTCAAACAGTGCAATTTGCCAGCAGCCCCATGTGCCCATACCCACGGCTCTGAGGATGTCGCCCGGGATGTTATTCCCAGCCAGCTCCAGCTTCCACAGGGTTCTGTTGCTGGGGAGACAGTTCACCAGGGCGCGGCCCCCGAGGAGGCCAATGTGATTCCAGCGCAGGTCTGGAAGGAAATGTGGTGTTGCCAGGGGTGGGAGGGCTGGCCCAGCCCAAGACGCTGGCACTTCCTGTGATCAGCCACAGATCAGGAGCCCGGCTCAGTGTGCCCCTCCTCGCCACCCCCTCCCTTCTGGGTGAGGACAGAGGAAGCACTGGGAGGGCTGGGATGCAAGACCTCCCTGCCTGCTCTGAGGATGGGGAGGGCCGGTGCTGGCAGCCTCACCAAGTTGCTGGAGGCTGGCATTGCTCTTCAGGGCCAGGGCCAGCTCCTCGGCGCCCTTGTGGTTGATCTGGTTGTTGCGGAGGTCCAGCTGCCGCAGGGTGCCATTGGCTGCCAGGGCCCCGCAGAAGGTGGCAAAGGCTTCATCCCATGTGCCCAGGTTGTTCCACTCCAGGGTGAGGCTGCAGGAAGGGTGGACATGAGGTGCATAGCCCGAAGGGCATCCTCCTCCCATGGGATCCAGTGGGCTCGAGGCGGAGTGCAGGCTTGCGGGGCGGGGGGGGGGGGGGGGTGTGTCTCTGGCAGAAACTGAGTAACTTATACCCACCTACCCCCGACCAGAGAAGGCTGGCATGAAGGTGTGAACTCTCATGTTTTAGAAGAGTGTCCCCTGGAGCCAACCCAGAACCACAGAGAGAGCAGAGGCTGCAGGGAGAGCTGGAGGCTGGGACTGCCACCCTACCTCTGAATGGACTTGTTCTGTCGGAGGAGTTTTGCCAGTGCCTCAGCCCCTGCTGCTCGAAGGTTATTGCCCTAGGACAGGAAGAGGCCATCCAGTCACTCTCTGGCGTCCTGGGCTGGCCAGTACCCTGGTCAGGCAGTGGGTGAGGCCATGGCGCACTCTGGACAGACGTGTGGCTCCTTTCAGATTCTGCCTTCCCTGAACAGAGTGGCCTTCTGATGTGGGCTCTTTCACTGCTTGTGAGAATGCTCTGGAACTCACATTTCTGCCCTCAGAACAGCAGCACACATTCATGAAAGCATGAGAAAATGGGGCGGAGCCTATGTGCCCAGAGCGCTTACAGACATGGTCTCTGGCCACCATGCAGACTCCTGGCTGCCAGGACATCTGCGTCTTCTCTACTCCTGCTCAGGTGGCATGCCCCTGAGTGCGGATCCACCCACCTTGAGATCCAGAAACCGCACGACAGTGTTGACACATAGCCCCTGCAGCAGCAGCGTGGCCCCTGTAAGAGAGCAGGGCAGTCACTCTCCACCCCTGGCGGCTCCATCTTAGGGCAGCTCCCCAGACACAGGGGAGGGACAGCTGTCCACGTGGCCCCCACCAGCCAGGGTTCATGCCAAAAGTCACCCCACTTCTGTGTCAGGTTTGAAACAGCTTCCAAGTGCCGAGTCAGGCTGCTGACCCTTGTGCTCATCAGCACAGCAGGACTCTCCTAAGCTGGGGGACGCTAACGGCTTTCCCATTAAAAAGAGAAATCGCCTTCAGCGCCCAGGTTTCCAAAGGGGTTGCTTTAATGACAGTGAAATGGAGAAACTTCACCAAAAATAAAAAAAGAGATCAGGTGGGACAGAGAGTTCTTTGCTAGAGGTGCCAAGCACCAAGGACTGGGGTATATGTAGCTAATGAGCAGCAGTGCAAAAGCAGCCAGAGGAGGTGGCCCTGAAACAAAGGGCTTGAACCCAGCCCCAACTCTGAAGTTGCAAGGACTGCCCTGGGCGATGCCGGCCCTTGGTGCCCACCTTCCTCACTCAGCATGCAGTCACTCAGGATGAGCTCCGTCAGCAGTGACTCCTTCTGCAGCAGCTTGCCCAGAGCCCTGCAGGTGTCCACTGTCAGGCTCTGTGTGGCCAGGTCCAGCCGGCCCTGCGGCAGCTGGTGCAGTTGCTGCAGGACAGTCTCCTGGGGTTCGGTCCCACTCTCCTTGCATAGCCGACTGTAGGCGCGCCGGAACTCCTCCATGTCCCTGGAGTGCAGGAAGGGCTTCTCCCCAAACTCCTAGACAGGACTCACCAGAAGCCAGCTGGAGCCAGGAAGCCGGGGAAAGGCAGTAGGGCAGGACCTCTCCCATGGGGGCCTACAGAGGCCCCGGCAGCTCAGTGCGGGGCACAAAGACCCTAAGTGCTCAGCAGGCGAGGAACAAGGAACAAACTGAGTTAGTCCAACAGGCAGGAGGCCCCAGGAGAGAGGGGGCAGGTGATGCTCAGGAGACCGCAAGAGCGGGGGACTGAGGAGGTGGGCGTCCTCGGGGGCGGAGCCTCCAGCGGCAGAGCCTGTCCGGGCGTCGGACGTACCCCTGGGGCCCCGGGCCCGAGGCCCTAGCCCTCGGGCCGCTGACCCCGGCTCATTCGCCGCAGGTGTACGCGGCCTCCGCGCGCCTCAGTATCCAGGAAGAGCAGGGCGCGCCGGGAAGACCTGGTAGAAACTACGAGTCCCAGGAGGCCTTGCGGAGGAGGGCGTTCACCACGGGCCAATGAAGGCGAAGGAGCGGGCGCGCGCGGCGGGCCCATTGGTTGGCTTTGCGAGGGCGGGGCTCCGGGAGGCGCGCTCTGGGTCGATTGGCTGGCAGCTCGGGGGCGGGGCTCCAGAGGGCGCGCTCAGGGTTCATTGGCTGGGGAGGCGGGGGCGGGGCTCCAGAGGGCGCGCGCTTTTGTGGCGGTCATGGAGGAAACCGGAGCCGTCTTCCGGAAAGTGAGAAAGGGCGTGCTGGCTGGGCGGGCTGGGGGTGCCGGGCGAGGTTTCTGCGGCTGGGGGACGCGCACGGGGCCGGTGGGGACGCTGCGGCCCCTGTTCCCTGCCTGACTCACGTGCGGATCCTGAGCCGGCCCCCGCGCTGCCATCTAGGGTGAGCCAGTTTCCAGAATCCGGCAGTAACCCCCATTCCGTGCGCCCTTCGTCCTCCGTAGTCCCGTGCCCCGGTAGCAGAAGGTTGAACAGGCGCCCTAGTCTGTGGCCAGACGGAAAGGGTCTGCAGAAATCGGGCAGGGGTAGGTGCTGGCACAAATGCAGGGAGTCTCAGAGAGGAGCCCGGGCCGCCGACCCCTGCCCCTCGCCCCGCGGCTACGGGATCGGCAGGACTCTCCTCCCTCAAGGGTTTAGCGTAGAGCACAGTGCGGCCCAGCTCGCTGGTAGTGTAGACACAGCTCGGCTGTGTATTCTAAAGCTTTTTGGGGGCCTTTTTCCTGTTACGCCAGCCCTGTGCTTTGCGTCTCGATTTAGCCGGGCTGGCTCCGTTGTCTGCTGTGTTTGTGGCTCTACGAGTGCTCTTCTTAGCAACACACCCAGCAGTCAGGCACTGGGTATGCACCAGGCATGAATTAGCCCGTGTAATGCTCAGCACCCTAGGACATGGGTCCTAGTACTGTCCCTACTTGCCAGTAGGAGAAACCAACAGAACTACTTCCAGAGGAAGCCCCTTTGCCCTGCACCTGGCAAGTGCTGCTCTGGGTGGATGGATAGAGAGGCCCGCCACCTCCCACACTCCGCTGGCTATGAGTGGTCCGGGTCTCATTTTGTTACTCTGCCTTAAGGTTTGGAGACACTGAGCCCTTGATGTCAGGCCTTTGTGAACCTGGGGTGGGAAGGTGTGTCCCAGCCCCTTGTGAGCACTGCCTTGTCCAGCCTGTCCTAGTGGGGATTTTCACTCTTTATCACCCAGAGCTGGGGTTGTGGCCATTACCCATGACCAAGGCTGTCCCGTCAGGGGTTGTGTTGCCTCCACACAGTGGGACAAAGGCTGACCACATCCCAGGTCCCATCCTCCCCTCTGCAAATTTAGGGAATCTCTGCTCCCAGCTGGTGTTGATCCCTTTGTCACGACCACCCCATGCAGCTGCCCCCCAGCAGCAATCTGACTGATTTAGCTCTTTGCCTGGGTCTGGGTGGGAGCTGCTGGAGCGGTAGAGCCTTCTGGGCCCTTCCTGATATCTTCCAGGTACACGGGCTTCCCCAGTGGCTCAGTTGGTAAAGAATCTGCCCGCAATGCAGAAGACCCATGTTCAATCCCTGGGTCAGGAAGGTCCCCTGGAGAAGGGAATGGCAACCCACTCCAGTATTCTTGCCTGGAGAACTCCATGGACAGAGGAGCTGGCAGGTTACAGTCAATGGTGTCGCAAAGAATAAGAGTAAGTGACTAACACTCCGGGTACACAGCGTGTAGGACCAGCAGGTGGCGCCAGGCTCCCGTAGTCACAGCTGGAAGGGTGAAGCTGCTTCAGCGCTGCTGGTGACCAGCAAGCTCTTCGCCTCCCGAGCTGAGTCTCCAGTGGAGTCCACTCCTTCCACTCTGCTCTCCAGCTTTGCTAAGCTGCACTGGGCAAGGCTCTGCCATCTCCATGGCCAAGGCTGGAGGCCTGGTGGGTGCTTGGCTCGCCTCTGCACGACACCCGGCTCCTGGGCACCCACTGCTGCTGTCCCACGTCCCGAGGCGCTCTGTGGGCTCCTCATTCACAGCTTCTTCCAGCTGGTCCCTACCCTCAGTAACCTCCCTGGGTCTCCTACCTTGACTGCCCATTGACAAGGAGCCTGGCTCCTGCTAAGCTCTGGGGTTCTCACCGTACCCTTCCCCATTACAGGAAGATCCCCTTCTCCGTGCCATGCTGTAGGCCCCAAGGAGGGACCTGGGATGCAGCTGGCGCCGTGCTCAGAGCAGGGTCTGACAAAGCCAGGCAGTGTCAGTGACATGGGCAGGGCTGTGAAGGGGCCCACTGTGGGGAAAGCAACTTGTCTCTGGGAGCAGGAGCACAAGACCATTCTGGATACCATGAGAACTGGAGCCCAGAACAGTGGGCAGGCACCTTGGCTGCTCCCTCATGTCTGCCACACGCGTCTCATTTCTAGCTCTCCTGGAGGCATTCGCAGGGAAGTATCCCCCCATGCCTAGTCCTCCACCCTGGGGAGACCCAGCCCCACAGACAGCATTTCCAGCTGGAAATTACAACCCCATCCCATCCACAATGAAATGACTAAAGGGTCAGCAGGAGGGGTGGGGGAAGTGGCTCACTGATGTGCCCTCCGTTCCCCAGGAGCTGGTGAGCAAACTGCTGCACTTGCACTTTAAAGACAAGAAGACCAAAGGTGTGTGAACCCGAGGCAAGGGTGGGGTGCTGGGACCCTGCTCTGCAGGAGCCAGGGCCTCCGGGAGGGCTGGGGGGGCCAGACAGAAGGTGGAGGTCACCAGCCTGAGCATGAGCCACACCAAAAGCGGTGAGGGCAGAGTGGGGCGGCAGGGAGAACACGAACTTGTAACCTGCTCCCTTCGCCTTGCAGTCAGTGGGGATGCGCTGCAGCTCATGGCCGAGCTGCTCAAGATCTTCGTTGTAGGTGAGCAGAGGGGCCCGAGAGCGTCCTCTGGGATCCCACCCAGGCTTGTCTGGACCATTTGTGATCCCTTTACATTTTTCAGTGAGGCTATCAAGACACCTTTTTCCCATTTTCCTACAAGCACCTTGTCCCTGAAAATTTCTGTATTTCAGAAGTCCCAACCTTGTCTTCTGAGCTGTCAGCTGGCACAGGGGTAGGGGAACAGCCAGGGGTGTGGCCCAGGGGGGTTGGGGTTCAAGCACCCCCAGCTTTCTCTACCTTACTTCCCCCCTGCATCACGGCAGAAGCGGCCATCCGCAGTGTCCGGCAGGCCCAGGCAGAGGACCTGGACCACGTGGATGTGGAGCAGCTGGAGAAGGTGCTGCCTCAGCTGGTAGGTGGGCCTCCAGAACAGGGCCTGGGCGGGGAGTGGGTGGGTGGCCCACACCCATAAGGCTCTGAGCACGCCTCTCCCCCACAGCTTCTGGACTTCTAGGGTTTCCACCCTCACTGTGACTGCCTGCTGGGAGTCGTAGCCTCTGGCTGCAAACATGACAGAAGCTGCTGACCCACAACATTCTCCTCCAGCTCCCAGCAAACCACCCCTCTTCCCCAGGTCATCCCTTCTGCCTGCTGCTGATGGCCAGGACACAGCATGCGGAGGGGAGAGGTCGCTGACAGGATGAGGGGCCAGGTGCCTGGGTGGGTGCCCTACCCATCCCGCCCCCCGGGGCAGCCAGGTGCCCACCGGTGTGAGAGAAGCACTCGGTCACTGGGAAGCGGGTGGCGGGAGACCCGCCCACCTAAACAGGTAGCCCACATGTCCTCCGCAAACACACAGAATGGTGTGGTTCTGCCACTGGTACCGAAGCTAGTGTGTCACCTTCCAGCCATCTGATACTCCCCTCAAAAGATGCTTCGCCGAGCTATACATTTGTTTTCAACAAAGCAACATCAATAAATCAGAGCCACCTCCCCAGGCACAGCCTCCTGTTGCCATTAATCACCCAAAGTCAAGTTGCTTCGAAGCTGGAAGAGGACAGAGTAACAAAGAGCATGTGTGAGTACCCTGCCGTGGGCCGGGCTTGAGGGGCTGACATCGGAGCCCTCGCACGTGTGGCTGCTCGCCTGCGATGGTGCCTCTGCCGCGGGGCTGCCGTGGGCGTGGGGTGCCCAGGGATGTGTGGGCAGGGCTCTTTGGGGGGAGAGGGGTCATGCCAGTGGAAAGGACTACTGCCCCCAGGGCCCAGGCGAGGCAGGTCAGGGCTGTTCAGGACCTGTTAGGAGCCCAGTCAGGAGGCTTGACTGCCCTCTGGGGCCCAGTAACCACCCCCCCACCCCTCCAGCACCTACCTCCCATTAATTCTGAAAGTGCCTGGGCTTGTCAGCCTAGGATTGAATCACCCCAAGGGCTCTGGGCCCAGTGACCTCGGAGTCAGGACTCTCATGGAGCAGCGGGACCTGGCCTGCTGGGGAGGGACATCTGCCTGACTGCCATGGGCACCCAGGAGCCCTGCCCCCACCCCCAAGGTGGCATAGGTAGGGGGACAGCCCGCACTCCCTAGTTTAGCCCCACTGGCTCCTTCCTGCACCCGTTCCCCGCCTCTGCCCCCCATCTTCCTCTCCCCCCCTCCCACAGGGAGTCTCAGGGCTTCAAAGCTCTGGGCGCATGTGGAAGTAATTAGACCTGAGGGGAGAGGCTGGCGACAAGTGCCAGGGCCCGTGCCCCCCCCACAGCCACTTTGAAGTGCACTCAGACGGTGGGGCGGGCGGGGCCCCGGGAAACCCCAGGCCGGCCCTGCCCTGCCCGCCCCGCCCTCCAGGGGTGGAGGCAACATCCTCTCTCCTGTCAGGGGCTGGGGGCCCGGCCTGAGCTGCAGCCAAGCAGGCGACGCCCAGAGGCCTTTCTCCCCAAACTTGTGTCCTCCACAGAGGGGGAGTTAATGTCAGTGAGGTTCAAAACCAAAGGGCAGGCAGTTCAAGGAAGACACCTGTGTCCTTAACAAGAACAAGCCCCGGCAAGCAGCCTCTGGGCTCACGTATCACCATCCAGCTAGGCTGGGGGCCTGTGGCTGGGAGCTTGGCGCAGAGCGGAGGACCGAGGGACCCTCCCCTGGAAAAGATGACAGGAGGGTCTCAGGAGAGACTCGCGTCTTTATTCCCGCTCAGGGTGGGCAGGGGTCCTGTGGCTGGCAGAATGGGCACCTCTGGCGGCTCTCACCTCTTCCCGGCTGCAAGGCAAACACACGGGGTGACCTCGGGGCCCTGGGCTCCTGCCCACAGCCCCTCCCCGCCCAGCCACGCCCCCAGGGTACCTGGCAGCTTCAACCACTTGGGCACTTTGCCTAGATCCCTCCTCACAGGCTGGGCTGTCCCCCGGCTGGGCTCAGGGGGCCCCACTGCCCCTTCCTCAGCAGCTGGCTCCAACTCAAGGGGTGCATGGTCAGGGGCTGGCGGTGGGGGTGGGGTTCCCGCAGCCCTGGACATGCACCTGGAAACAGAGGCACAAAGGCCGAGGTGCCGGGTGGCGGGTGTTGTGCCAGTGGGCTCCGCCACCCTCTGTGAACACTCACCTGGCTGCGAGCACGTCAGCTGCAGATGGGGAGACGGTGTGTTCCAGCAGCCTGGGCTCCAGGTAGATGCCTGCAGGAGGCCTGTACCCTCAGGCCACAGACATGGGGACCCCACCCGCCTACTGCTGCTTTGCTCTGGGAGGGAGTGTGGCCCAGCCCTGGGGAGTAGTAGGGTAAGGGGGTATTGGGGCCACAGGTCTCCCTCCCAGACCCGAAGTCCTCTGCTCTGGGGCATCTCAGGAGCTGGAATGTAGGGCCCAGGGCTGGCCAGAGCTGGTGGGCAGAGGGGGACGCTACCCACCTGTCGGCTCCTCAGATCCAAAGTGCACAAGGGCGGCAGGGAAGAGGTTCGCCTGCAGAGAGGGCGGAGGGGAGCTCAGGGAACAAGTGGGCCCCATGGGGCACAGGACGGCAGGGAGGTGCTGGCCTCACGGGCACCACATCTGTTAGGCCCAGGGCTCCACTGAGGAGGCTACAGCCCCACCAGGCCCCTCCCATCAAGCCGCCTACTGCCCAGCTTCACCTGTTCCTCCTCTGGCACCAACCCCAGTGCAAGCCAGGCCAGGGCATCAAACAACAGGGTCCTTCCAGGGCCCAGCCTCAAGCACCAGCTGAACAGGAAGCTCTTGTGGTGTGAGTGCTCTGGCATTTTTAACTACCTCCCCTTCCTGCCCAGGTCCCAGGGTCAACGCTTAATATTCTGAAGGTTGTGGCCGCCCCACCCTCAGCAGAGACTACAGGACATCAAGAGGTCAGAGATGCAGATGAACACAAGTGCATGGAGGGGCATGGGGGCATGGGGTGTGAGGTGGCTGCCAACAGAGGCCACAACCCGCTGTGCCCCAGGCTCCCCCGACCTCTGCTGCCCAAAGAATGCAGGGGGGACTCTGCAAGGGCTGACAGGTGAGCCCAGGTCCCCTGGGAGCAGCTGGATGGGCGATGGGAGTGCCATGTGCAGGGCTCTCCAGTGGTACCCAGACATAGGGAAGTGAGCGGGGGGCCTCTTGGAGCCAAGTTGCTTTGGGAACCTGGGTTCAGAGGTGCTCCCAGGCCTACTGCCTTGACCTGAAAGCCCACATAAGGGTTCCCTGACTCAGCACTGGGTCACCTTATGAGGAAGAGCCAGTGCTAGCCAGCGTGAAGCCCTTCTTGCAGGGTAGGGTGTCCCCACATTCTTCCTGGCGTCCTGTCCGTGGGGGTGGTGGCACAAGATTTCTGCTCAAGGACTGGCCCCACCTGCATAAGACGCATCACGTGGCCCCTGAAACATTCCTGGAGGCCTCCCAAACAGGAGGCCAGACTATGGTGCAGAAATCAGGGTTGTAGGATAGGATCCCAGAGCCCCCCAGCGTCATCACCTGCCTCCACTCCCGCCTCTGCATCTGAGGACGACCGTGGCTGCCACCCCCAGAGCTGGCCTGAGGAGCAGGGAGGCCACCACCCACAGCCCTGTGTCCTCAGCCCTCGGCAGAAGGGCCGCAGCTGCCAGCTGAGTGTATCCTCTCAGCTCTGAGCTCTTGGAATTGGGTGGAGAGTATTAACAGAAAGAAGCTTCAAAGACCAGGAATGCTGGGATTGCAGGCAAAGCAGAGGGACAGAGAAGGGCCATGAATGCTCTGAAACCCCACTCTGAGGCCTGGGATCACAGCCTGCTGCAGGGGGATGGCCTGGAGGGTGTTTGGGGGCTGCCCCCTGGCCCGGGAGGCACCGGAATCTGGAGGGGCTGGAAACAGGTAGGAGAGTGCCTTAACCTTTCTCAGGTGGCCCAGTGAGGCCAGACCCTGAGTTGGCCAACCCCCTAGGCACTGGTAGGATTATCCCAGTGGGGCCGTCTAGGGGCTGCAGAGCTTAAAGCCTTGAAGGACCCCTCTGGGCCCCTCGAAGCAGCTCTTCTGGAACCTGGCCTCCCTGCCTCCCCTCTGCACCTGCTGGAAGCCCTCTACCTGCCAGCTTGTGTCCCAGGGGATGACCCCACTGGAAAAAGGGGTGAGTAGAAAGTACAGAAGACCACTATGACTCCAGGAGGGAGGTGCACCCCTCTGCTCAGGCTGACAAAGTTCACAGATCGTGGTGGTCTTCAGGGCCCTCTAAGGGCACCACCAAGGGGTGGGGCTTGATGTTGGGGCTCTGGGTAAGGCAGTGCAGGCGGGCTGAGACAGGAGCAAAGGGAGGTCCCTGAGGCTCGGGGCTGCACCAGCATGAAGGGGCTCGGGCCCAGGAAGTAGGTATGACGTGGGCTGTTGGGGACCTCTGTGTTCAAGGATGGCATCCTTGGCAACCACCAATCCTCAACCTCACCCATCTCGCCCAAGAAACAGTCACTCTCCTGGCCCCATGGCCAAAACAGGCAGCTAGGCTTCCAGCCCCCACACCCACCCTGAGCTGTCACTTCCTGGGGCGCAGGACTGGCCCCCGGGCAGCCTCCAGGGCAGCCGGCAGCCAGCAGCCAGCACGCGGCCCTGCCAGGGACATGAAAGCCGGCAGCTTCCGCGCCCGCTCACCCGCGGGAGGGAGAAGGCTTCCTTCCCCAAGCCCTGCCAGCTCTCTGATCGCAGGCAGGCAGGGACGCCACCCCGAGCGGAGGCCCCACGGCTCCAGGGCGAGCTGACAGATGAAAGGAGACGGCTGCTAGTAGCAGGGGGCAGAGTGTCACCAGGAATCAGGCCGCGTGGGCGGGACAGGCAGCACCCCAGGGTTCCTAATTGGAGGGGGGGTGCCTGGACGCTGGCCTTTCTCCATCCCAAAGCATCTTCCAAATTCAATGTTTATCAACAGGCTGGCCAAAGATGGAGAGTGGGGAGGGAGGGAGGCAGGGCGGGTGGGGATAGAGGGAGGCCCGGTGCCTCTGGGGCTTCCAGGGGGCTGCAGAAGGGGGCTGAGAAGGGGGAGTGGGGATGCGGGGAAGCACCCTGCTCCCACCAACCTTGACGCCTTTCCTTGGTGGGCTTCTAGCCTCTCTGCTGGTCTGGCCCCATCCCCCCAAGATGGTGGCAGCCCCAGGCAGCAAGCAGATCCCCTTGCCCCAACTCAGACCTCTGCAGGGCCTGCTGGCCATTTAACAAAGGCCAGCCTCTGTTACTAATTAAAATATCTGAAGAGACTTTAAGAGGAAACCATTAGGCCAGAGGGCTGGGGAGGCCCCGGGCTGCTCTCCTGGGGTGAAGGGACAGGACATTCCTTCTGGCTCTGGACTGCAGCCCAGCAGGGCACCGGATCAACACTCCTCACCCTGGGAGCTCTGGGGGCCCCCAGTGCCCAGGGAGGGCCCGCCGTGGCATTCCCAGCAGAGGCCATGGGATCCAGGGGACGGGCAGCAGGCCTGGCAGCAGCCCCTCCAATCTGCAGCCAAACTTGCCCGGCAGCTGGCACCCCAGGGGCCTCCTGGGCAGCTGGCCACCTGAACTGAGG